CCCGCGAAAAAAAAAAAAAAAAAAAAAAAAAAAAATATATATATATATATATATATATAATATACATAACAATGTATTGTCTTCACTTCTGTGCCTTTGAGAGAAATAAGTCATTTGAAAAGGCCGATTTATGGTGGTTCTATTCCCAAGAATGTAGGCTTGTTGCAATTGTTGAATTTCTTTAAAATTTATTGTCTCTTTAGAATATACATGTAGTATATGGAGAGAGAGAGAGAGAAAGAGAGAGAGAGAAATGCTGTGTACCAAAAAGAGATGCACTAATACTGAGATTTTAGTATTTAGTAACTTTAACATGCTCTAAAACATTCAGTAAAATATCCACTGTCCAGAGAGTGCCTATTTAATTATTTCATTGGACAATGTTAGTTTAGCTGGATTAAAAATATTGTTAAGCTTCAAACTCATACATTTATTCCTCACTAGTTTTGCCAGATATTATTTTGTTTCAGAACCACAGACTGATTCTGCCAGCCATCTTAAAAATTCACGCCATTGGTGAGAAGCCGATGGAGTTAGTGAATGAATACAGAAATCAAGGCTGAATTCATTACAATTAGAAAATTAATTCCAAAACCATACCCGATGCAGTAGTATACATACAGTTTACTTTGTTTAAATATACTAGGCTGTTGATTGGCAAAATAAATGTACATTTTAATGCAACTGCTTTAACACAATTTACTTTTTTCAGAAGTCAAAGATACAGCCACTCCTGTATTATCATCAACTTCTGCAACAAAAACATCTGTATCAGCATCAAACACAACGTCATCACCAAATGTTGTGGAGAAATCAACAGTTGAAATATCTACTAAAGGTAGGATTAACTCTTCATGACATTTACTTTAACCTTAACAAATTAAATTAGTAGCACCCATATAAATTAATCATAGGAAAATAATTTGGGAATCTCATATCTGTGTTATGAAGGTCTAGGTTATTTCACTGTTTTGAAACTCATGTGTTATTTTGGGTTGAATACAGAACCCTGAGATCACAGTGGGCTTCTTCGATGATATCGCTTTGGGTCACTTCCTGTTTGGGAATGATCCTATTGTGATGGCTACATATACAAAGTTTATTTTTAGAGAAGAAAAAATTGTCATTTCTCAGTCATAAAAATATCTTTCTAAATATTCCAGTTCCCCACTTAAACAGCACAGCTAACAAGGTGAAACTGTATTAATAACAGAGCTGCTTGTATATTTTGGAGATTAATCCTTTGTCAGTTGCTTCCTTTGTCAGTTGCTTTGTTTGCATAGCACAGGGAGATCAGCTGGATGCTTTGTGACCACCTAGAGGGGTGGGATAGGGAGGGTGGGAGGGAGGCTCACGAGGGAGAAGATATGGGGATGTATGTATACATATAGCTGATTCACTTTGTTGTACAGCAGAAACTAAACACAACATTGTAAATCAATTATACTCCAATAAAGATATAAAAAAAAATAATGTACTAGGTAAACTGTGCAGAGCCAAATATCTCCTCCCTCAAACACAGCATGTGTATATATAAGAACCAAGATTTTATGAATGTCACACAGTAAAAATAGAACCCTTGCCCTAATCACAAAAGGACATTCTAACATGTTTTAAGAGAAAAGGGAATGCTACCATGAGTAGCAAATCAGTAAGTTGTGTCCACTACTTAAAGCAGGTCTTTATCCTTTTGTTGGTCCCCCTGTCCTATATGAGTGCCATCTTACCTGAAACAACATTTACTACATGCTCACTCTATGCCAGGAATTATTCTTCATACGACGAAGATTAAAAAGATGACTAAGGGCCAGTCGGAGCATGTGGCAACTGTGGGGGGGGGGGAGGGGCATGGGAAAAAAGAGGTGACTAAGGGTTAGGTACTACCCTCAGAAGCCTAGGAGAGGACTTTGTACAGAGTGGGAAATCAATGAATTGTTTCATAAATGAAAAAAATTAATTAATTACAGGAGTTTGCAAGTTCCTTTATTATTTATGTTTATTGGAAGTTTCAAAGCCACAACTAAATCAACAAAATGAAATCTTATTTTGGGAAAAAAAGGCACATTACTCCTAGGTCCTATTGACCAGGTAATTTTTCCCACTGGGAAAAATAAAATGATTTTAAATAATTCACTTTTAAAGAGACCTAAGTAACAATCTGCAGTAGAAATTTGCTTTTGGGACCTCTCATACAAAAGTGTGTGTGTGTGTGTGTGTGTGTGTGTGTGTGTGTGTTTATCGGGCCACCCAAGCATTCAGTACTTACATTCCTCACCTTGGACAAAAGAAGCTGGAAAATGGAAAAATAAAGATAGACAAAGGTTTACCCAGTACCTATAGAAGGATTTTAATTCACCTTCAGATTTGACTTACTTTTCTTTACTCCATGACAGGTGAGATGAAACTGTAATTAATAATAATGTCATCTATCTAGGAGCTACCAGCAAGGAACCCTTAGAAACATCTCTGCTGTCAACACTGTCTTCAGTAACCACAGCAGTTAATGGTGAAGGTGAGTAATGTATCTGCTTTGCCACCATTTTTCTTTTATGTATATCATCACATACCATACCATAATAGTCACCCTTTTAAAGTATTCAATTAAGTGGGTTTTAGCATATTCACAAGCTTCTGCAAACATCTGGGACATTTTAATCACCCTCAAAAGAAACCCTACATCTATTACCAATCACTCCCCCACCCTTCCTCTAACCCCTGGCAACCACTACTTTCTGTTTCTATAAATTTACCTATTCTAGAAATTTCATATAAATGGAATCATATGATATATGATCTTTTGTGTCTGGCTTCTTTCACTTAGCATAATGTTCTTAGATTCATCCATGCTATAACATGCATCTGTAGTTTATTTTTTTCTATTACTGAATGATATTTCATTGTGTAGATAGACCACATTTTGTTTATCTGTTTATTAGTTGATGGACATTTGGGTTGTTTCTACTTTTTGCCTATTGTAAATAATGATGCTAAGAACAATTATGCACATGTTTTTGTGTGACCATGTGTTTTCATTTCTCTTGGGTATTGTCAAAAATTAATGAACAGAAACCTCAGTATTTTAAATAGAGTTGATGGGCCAGAAGAGGGAGCTCTCACACCCTGAGACAATAGCAGAGCCCACCAGGAAGCAGAGACTCTCTTCTTTCCTGGCAAGGACTCAATCAATGAAAAGTCAGGGACTCTTTGTTTACTATCGCCCTCCCCACTTCCTTTTCCCCTCTATAAAAATTTCTTCTTCCCTTGCCATGTGGGAACTTACACGTGACTTGCCATGGTTGCAGACCCTGAATTGCAATTCTCTTCTGATCCCAAGTAAGTGCATCTTGGCTGGAGAAATATCTGTCAGTCCATTGGCTTCAGGTCAACAGTGAATACCTTGAAGTGGAATTGTGGAGTCACATGGTAACTCTATGTTTAACTTTTTGAGGAACTGATTTCCAAAGCAGCTTCACTATATTACATTCCCACCAGAAAGGTATAATGGTACCTTCTCTGCACTGATGAGTCTGTCTCCAGTAAAAGGAAAATTTATACCCTGCCTTTAGGCAGAAAAGGGAGGTATTTTTATGCATTTGCTACTTCTTAACTGCATTCAGTTTAAAATAATTTTATATCAAAGATGCATATTTTGGGGTGACATATTCTGGTTTCCTTTAGTAGTTTATGCAGTGGATCAAATCAGAGAAATACTTGCTCAACTCAAGATCACAAAGATTTAGACCAATGTTTTCTTCTAAGAAGTTTAGACTTTCAGCTTTTAAAGTCTTTGATATAGTGTGAGTTAGATGTCCAGCTCCATTCTTTTGCATGTAGTCATCCAGTTGTCCTAACACCATTTGTTGAAAAGACTATTCTTTTCCCATTTGAATTATGGTAGCACCCTTGATAAAAGTCAGTTGGCCATAAAGGTATGTTTTTACTCCTGGACTTTCAATTCTAATCCATTTATCTATATATCTAGTCTTATGCCAGAATCATACGGTCTTGGTTATCATAGCTTTGCATTAAGTTCTGAAATTGGGAAATGTGAATCCTCCAACTTTTTCTTCTTTTTCTAGATTGTTTTGACTATTCTGGGTCACTTGAATTTCCATGTGAATTTTAGGATAAGCTTGTCCTAACTTTCTGCAAAAAGTCAGCTGGGATTGTGATAGGGATTGCATTGAATCTATAGATCAATTTGGGAAGTACAGCCATCTTCACAGCTGTAAGTCTTCCAAATCATGAATACAGGATGCCTTTATTTAGGTCTTCTTTAATAGCCTTTGATAATGTTTATAGTTTTCAGTGCAGAAGACATTCACTTCTTTTGTTCAATTTATTCCTAATATTTTATTCATTTTATTGCTACTGTAAATGGAATCATTTTCCTCAATTTTGTTTTTGGATTGTTCATTGCTACTGTATAGAAATACAATTTATTTTCATATACTGATATTATATCCTTCCACCTTGTTGAGCTCATTTATTGGTTCAAGTTGTGTGTGTGTGTGGTGTGTGTATTCCTTAGTATTTTCTATACATAAGACTTATCTGCAAGTGGAGATAGTTTTACTTCCTCCTTTCCAATATGGATGTCTTTTATTTTCTTGCCTATTTGCCCTGACTAGAACTTCCAGTTCAATATTGAATAGAAGTGGTGGGAGAGGGCTCCTTTTCTTGTTCCTAATCTTAGGGGAATGCTTTCAGTATGTCACCATTAAGTATGATATTATTGTAGGGTTTTCAGAGATGCCCTTAATCAGGTTGAGGAAGTCCTCTTATATTACTAGTTTGCTGAGTGTTTTCATCATGCAGAAGTGTTAGATTTTGTTAAATGCTGTTCTTAGTGTATTAAGATTATTATGTGGTTTTTAATCCCTTATTTTATTAATATGGTATATGACATTGATTTTCACATGTGGGACCAATCTTGCATTCCTGTGGTAATCCCACCTGGTGATGGTATATCATGCCTTTTATATGTTGCTGGGTTTGTTATCAATTATTTTGTTAAGAATTTTCATGTCCGTATTCATAAGAGATATAAGTTTGTAGTTTTCTTCTGTTGTCTTTGTCTGATTTTGGTATCGGGTTAATAATAGCCCCATAGGATGCACTGTGAAGTGTTTTCTTCTCTACCAATTTTTGGAAAATTTTGTAAACAATTGATGGTAAATATTCTTTAAATGTTTGGTAGAAGGAACCAGTGAAAAATCTTTTCCTGGGATTTTCTTTGTGGAAAGCTTTTGATTACTAATTCAATCTCTTTACTTGGTATAGGCCTTTTCAGATTTTCTATTTCTTCTTGACTCAGTTTTGGTAGGTGATGCAACTGGGGTGTTAAAGTCTTCTATTATTATTGTGTTATTGTCAATTCTCCCTTTATTTTTGTTAATATTTGCCTTATATATGTAGGTGCTGCTATGTTGGATGCATGTATATTTACAATTATTTGATCTTGTGGATTGATCCCTTGATCAATATATAATATAATATATAATGTCTTTCTTCATCTCTTGTTGCAGAGTCTTATTTTAAAGTCTATTTTGAGTAACTCAGAGTGGAGTAAATACTGCCAGAAGTTTACGTTCAAGAGTTCAGAATGCTACTCCCACTGGAAGGGCTGTGTCCTGGCAAAGCTGCACTCTGCCTGACTTCCTAGAATGCTCTGGGCGGTGCATTTTTCTGACCAACAGTCAGAATTAATTACTTTTTCAATTGCTAAAATGTGGGGGCCAGAGCTGTGTAGACTTAGATGAAAGGGAGGAAAATATTTCATTTTTGCAACTCCAGCCTGAATGGGCAATATTGCACATTGCTCAGCTTGATTTGTTTGTTAATTCAATTAAGCTCAACAGCCCACCTACAAGGGGTTTGGTTAAATAAATTATAGTACATGGATTTAAAAAGAAGTAAGTAGCTCTAAAATATACCATCATAAAAATGTGTCTAATGTATGAAGTGTTTAATGCACTTTGAGCAATCATACCCCAATAAAGTGGGTTTTTTAGAAATAAATTTTAAAAAAAGTCTAAATTGTCTGTTATGAGTACTGCTACCCCAGCTTTCTTTTAATTTTCATTTGCATGGAATACCTTTTTCCATCCTCTCACGTTCAGTCTATGTGCGTCTTTAGATCTGAAGTGAGTCTCCTGTAGGCAGTGTATATATGGGTCTTGTTTTTCGCTTTGTTTTGTTTTTTTAATCCGTTCAGCCACTCTATGTCTTTTGACTGGAACAGTTAATTCACTTACATGTAAGGTAATTATTGATAGGTATGTATTTATTTTCATTTTGTTAATTGTTTTCTGGTTGTTTTGTACTGCTTTTCTGTTCCTTTCTTCTTTTGCTCTATTCCCTTATGATTTGATGACAATCTTTAGTGTTATGTTCGGATTTCTTTCTCTTTTTTTGTGTGTCTCTATTATAGATTTTTGGTTTGTGATTATCATGAGATTTATATATAATTCTCTCTCTCTTTCTCTCTCTATATATATGTTTAATGTTTTTGACATCAACTTTTACATCTTTTTGTTTTAGGTATCCCTTAAATACTTATTGTTGATATAGATGATTTTACTGCCTTGTCTTTTAACTTTCCTACTAGCTTTATGTGGTTGATCTACTACATTTACTGTATGTTTGCTTTTACCAATGAGATTTCTACTTTCATAATTTTCATATTTCTAGTTGTGGTCTTTTCTACTTCACTTAGGGAAATCCCTTTAACATTTCTTGTAGAGCTGGTTTAGTGGTGCTGAACTCTTTTAGCCTTTGCTTGCCTGTAAAACTCTTTATCTCTTCTTCAAATCTGAATGATATGTTTTCCAGTTAGATTATTCTTGGTTGTAGGTTTTTTCCTTTCATTACCTTGAATATATCATGCCACTCCCTTCCGGCTTACAAAGATTCTGCTGAAAATTCAGCTCATAGTCTTATGGGAGTTCTCTTGTATGTAACTAGTTGCTTTTCTCTTGGTGCTTTGAAGATTCTCTTCTTATCTTTAATATTTGTCATTTTAATTATGTCTCTTGCCGTAAACCACTTTAGGTTCATCTTGTTTGGAACTCTCTGTACTTTCCAGAAATAGATGCATGTTTCCTTTCCCAGCTTAGGGAGTTTTCAGCTATTATTTCTTCAAATATGTTCTCTGCTTCTTTCTCTCTTTCTTCTCCTTCTAGGACCCCTTATAATGTGAATGTTAGTATGCTTGATCTTATCCCAGAGGTCTCTTAAACTGTCCCCATCTTTTAAAATTCTTTGTTTCTTTTTTGTTCAGCTTGGGTGATTTTTCACTCCGCAGTCTCCAGTTCACTGATCGTTCCTCTGTATCATCTAATCTCCTGTTGATTCCTTCTACTGTATTTTTTATTTCAGTTATTGTATTCTTCAGCTCCGTTTGATTCTTTTTTATATTTTCTAACTCTTTATTAACTTCTCAACGTGATCATTCATTCTTCTCCCAAGTTCACTGAGCATCTTCATGATCATTTCCTTGACCTCTTTATC